GCATTCTGGCAATAAATGACGAATGATTGAAGAGAATAAGAGAGACAACGGGCAATATATTGTATATATGTATTGAGGATTTCTGATGCTACAGACATACTATTTAGAATTACATCCATCTCATTTCACGTGTCTGTCACGTAGACAGCGAGCAAGTGTGTCACTCGTGTTGTTCAGCTGTGTGCATTTCTCATTCCAAGTTAATGCTACCCGCACCGAACTTATACCACTGACCAGGTACAGTCAGCTAAACAAGAGTTCTAGCAGTGACAGTGCCTGAAATGGGGGCCAGCCGAAGGTTGGCCCCAAATTTTCTTTTGGGGCGAGTAAATTTTTTTAGTCACTGGCCCAAATGCATTGTTGGAGGCCCAAATTTTATACAGCAGCGCATCTGAGCCAGTGCGCATAGAGCGAGTGCGCGCGATCTGAGCGGGTTCAGCTAGGCACCCTGATTCTCACCGGTCTCACTGCTAGCATAATTTATCCATTACTATGCCACACTAGCGTTATACAGCGGGCATAGCATACAAGCGTATAAGCAAGCGTGGCCAATCAGGGTGGGCTCAGGTCAGCGATACATGTACATAAATGTGATGTTATACATTGTATCAAGCTAGCCAGACAACGCATCTAGACATGTATGTTTGCAGTGTATAGCGGGAGAGTCGAAGAGTACCAGTCTACCCCGCCGTCAGCAAGCTCGGTCGGAACGAAAATGCGCAGCTTGGTCCGATTGTATCCTAGCGTGGACTCTGGTTTAGGATTATGATTAGTTAGGCCAAACAAAAAAATACCTTTGGTTCGGGTCACATGGATTGTGAAAATTATGGTAGGTATAAGGTATATATATTAGGTATAACATTTTTTTTTTCCCTGCAAAAACATGGGTAGGCAGGAATATAATTTTTTTTTTTACAAGTTAAATATAGGAATATAGGAATATAATTTGAACGAGCGAGTAACCGAAGTGTGGCGCAGCGCGTTCCACAGCGTGTGCGCATGCAAAATGTATCGATCTGTGGCGTGTGGAAAATATCACACGTGTTTGATATTATCTTCCATGTGTGGAAGATTGAACAGCGTCTGCGGAGTGGCTGTGCAAAGTTCCAAACCGTCTCTATGTAACCGACCAATAGCAGGAGGTCAAGCGAGTCACGTAATCTTAACTTGCAGTTGCAGCGCGGCATTGATTGATGTACAGGGGGGTGGGGCATTGTTTAAGTCGCGTTCATTGAATATGTAGGGGGTGACCACTGCTGGGATGAGCCTGAGGGCGACAGTAAAACTCTTTCTTGGAATTGTGAAAAGGCTGCAAAATGGATTGTAACCTGCTTTGCCACTCAATTACATAATTTAACCCATGCATCAGGTGCCGTTTTGTGCAGCCGCGCGACTATTATACTTGGCAGTAATTAATTGGTATATGTGCAATAATATTGTTAGTCCAACAGAGGAGGTTGGCTAGCCCCTCCCCCCCCCCCCTAAATCCACCACTACACACGCGCGCGCGCGCACGCACGCACGCACGCACGCACGCACGCACGCACGCACGCACGCACACACACACACACACACACACACACACACACAGAGAGCAACGTAAAAACACGTTCAAATGTAGAGACGGTGTGGAACTTTACACTACGCAGACGCTGTTCAATCTTCCACACGTGGAAGAAAATATCAAAAACGTGTGATATTTTCCACACGCCACAGCGTGTGCGGCAACGGCTCTGCGGCCGCGTATAGCACGATAGCATGCGTATACTATATAGTACGCGATCGATCGCGTACATTAAAGCCGGTCGCCGCGCCATACGACCTTCAGGCTCTGTTCATGAAGTAGCCGGCCGGTCCGGCCCAGGCTCTATACGACTGTTTCACGTTGTAGGAAAAATATTTTGGAACTCTCTTTAGGTAAATAAAATGACAGAGTCGGATATTTGAATATGTATGATCGGCAGGCGGTATCTTTGAATTATATTTTTTCTTGAAACCCTCTAAAAGTGACCGCAGTCGCACATTTTCCACTCCGAAATGTGAAGTGCGGGCGGGTGACCCGAACCAAAGGTAATTTTTTGGTCGGCCTTAGTAAACAAAGAACAACTCAAACATATCAGTAAATTTGTTTATGTGTTTAAATATTGGCAGTCGCCCAAATTTTTTTTGTGGGGCCAGTGACTATATACTTGACTTGTGCAATTTTCGGTCGCCCGAGCTAGACATTGGTCGCCTGTGGCGAGTGGGCGACCGTCCATTTCAGGCACTGCAGTGATACAAAGTCCCTTAATTACCCAAGGACAGATTAGATGATCATTATTGTGGCTTTCACTTGCACTATAGCTGTTTCAGCAAAAAATTCAAACAAACCATTCCAGAAACAACAATATTATCCGTTGATGAATCCTTCTATAACCCGCAGCATCCGGCAGCAAAACAGTAATGAAAGTACACGCAAGTTTGACTATACCGAATCCCACCTTAAATTCAAGACCATGTATTTTAAATGAGATTAGTTTCTACTCAAATGAAATATTTCGTCGAAATACCTTGGCAAAGGCGAGTGGATTCAACCTGCTTGCCATTACAGCATCTACGGTAGATGAGGATAGCGGAATTCCCTCGCTGGTAACGAGATCTCTTAACGCTGATGGCTCCAGCATCAATTTCTCTACGACGATACCCTCAGCTGGAACACACATATCACGTATGATCATGGATGGCGTCGCCAAGACGACTAAACGCTACCAACAGTTTTCATCAACATCTCTTAAAGAAATAGACAAACACATGCACATATAGAGACTTCAGACATGCCACTAGACGATACTTATGGCCTATGTCTAACAAAATGTTAGATAACTCGTTGAGATCATTTCAATTAGGTTAGTGATTAAAATTCGAGTACAATGCAGCAACATAGGCTCTCAATACCTGGAACAATAGCAGTCACATTGTCTATCTTTCCTGAAAGGGTGCGTAATTTCTCCACGTCTTGATTGAGTAATAGAAGACGAAAAATATCGGTGCCCCGATCCTCGGCTATGCCACTCAAATCGACAAAGAGGCTCTCTGCCAATATTCCCCTGTAAAACGAAGCCGCGGAAATTCCAGTCAACGATCACGCACGTCGTCAGCACCATTGTCGAGAAAGACAATTAAGCTACGCGCCGTGCTTAGGGATGTGGGAGAATTCCGCACACTCGTTCGCGTCGTTAGAAATCCTTCGTGACAGAAGTGCGGCAGTTGCGTTGTGCTTTTGTTAGATCGCATGGATGCGGATGAGTTCTTACATCGTGTCGTTTCGATTTCGATCTTTCTGCACTGGGTACTCATGGCAGGTGTTGTTGTAGGTGCAGATCTGGGATTGCACCCACGTACCAACTCCAGCCGAAGGCATGGCCTTACTTTCAAAGTGACCTGCTCAAACAAGAATTCAAGCATCACATCTTAACTTACGACATGAACATTTTTCCAACACGGGCCACGGGCGGACGAAATCAAGGAGGCCCCATCGCCGCCAAAAAAGCTGTCTCCGAGGAAGAGAGGGGCTGCAGCCTCCCTCGTCAAGTATGACGATTCTCAGATAAAGTAACATAACCCCAAACATAAGGTACATGTAGTTTTAAACCTTAACATAACATAAATACAACCAGTGCCACTAAGAATCCAGCGATAAAGATATGTTTGAACTTTGATCCGAATTATAGTAAAATCAACCCTTCTAAATACTAGACTGGGTCTGTAGGAAGCTAACCCAAGTCTCTATCATTTGCTGGCTATTACAAGGCTATTACAGACTGCCAGTACTGTGTCTATGTATCCTCGTTTCACACTGCTATACACATGATCTATTCTAATTCCTATACAAATAGCATAACTTACAGTTATGATAAAATGTCTTGAGTTCATCTTGCTTTGCCTGTTTCACCCAAACGAGTATTAGAAAGAGAACCAGTGGCCACACCAGCTCTACTACCAATCGAATCTGTAACAGAAAGAACAGACATATCTGTAGCACAGTTTACCAGATACATTGCATGTAAATTTACACATACAGAGCGACCCAAGGATATAAGAGCTGTCCACATTTGCACATTTGCACATGTTGCACATTGCAAAAATGAATTGTGGTCAGTGCTTATATCCATGAACCAACACAGAGCTCCATCTGGAAGCCTTTCAGCCTTTCAGCCTTTTAGCCGAGAAGTGTAACGAAATTTTTTAACCACTAACGGTACACAAAAAACACTGCCTACCTTATTATACACATGCTAATCCGAGTTTCACTAGCTCATTTGCATATAAAAAAATGCAGTGAGACACAAATAATCGATCAAGTTACATATAATTTGTTACCACTGACTACAATTTGAAAACAGTTCATTATTTAATTGTGATTTTGTACATTCCCCAATTGTATGTGTTTGCCAGTACATATATAGTTATTATGGCCACCGCTCAATTAATCAACAGGTGCAGTAAAATCACCAGTTGTTTATACCTACGTATATGCAACAATTACCATTTTCTCATCGATTATTAAATGTAGATCCATGTATGATTTTTGCACTGTGAAATTCACTGCCATCTACATGAATAACTAAGTGCAGTGAGGTACATGTATGTAGCACTAAATATCCCAAGGCAATCCTCATGTGTGGCTATGAATATCCTGTAACCATACTTCTGGCTAGATCAGATAATGATACAAAGTGTTGAAAATTATACCAATCGAAATCAAATCAATGCATCAATCAATCAATCAATCAATGAATCATATCAATGAAATCATCATGAATCGTGGTGGGGGGACATTTGATATGATGTCCCCCTCTGAAAATTCGTGGGGGGACATGTCCCCCTGTCCCCCCCCCCTGGATTTGCGCCCCTGATTCTGAGAGCATCTGAGCAGTAATTTTGATGTCTAGAATGCAAAAATTTATCAGATCCGGTCCCCCGGACGCCTGCGGACCCCTAGCTCTAGTACTATAGCCGCTTACATTAACTGCCGCTGGGCTATAGACCGACCCATGGGGCATGCAATGGACCAACTTATCCCCGATTATACCCGACTATAAAACGTCTGTGGTAGGCAATTAATGCCTCTTATCCGAAGTGAATATGTCTTAAGTTATACACGCGACTACAGTTTTACCTCTAACTATCGTTGCAATGGTATACTTGCGATATTTCTTGTCAACGAACATTCGATTTGCGAACTTCAAACGG